TATATATGTGTGTGTGTGTGTATTTCTCTTGTTGGAGTTGCATCCTTTGTCTAAGCACAACTGTAGGTATTTAGTGCACAACTCTTTGTAAAACACTTCTGCTGTGCATCTACTACAGATTATGAGGCTGAGTCTGGACTTATCAACACTGTCTTTGAGTTTCATATTGATTAATCATCAATCATTAAAAACTACAACTCTTTATTTAAATATTTCCTTTTTTTCTTCTTTTGATTTGCAGTGCATCAAGTTCAGCACTACCACTGTCACAAGCATTTCCATCATAGTTGATTAGCTTCACTCTGCCTGTTTGTGGTCCTGTTTTGCCTATTTTTGTCAAATTTGATTCTGTTTTTGTATAGTTTATTGTTCTGAGTCTTGCATTTCCCCACCTGCACTTGTTTGCTTCTTTTTCATCTACTCTCCTCTTTGTCTCATCCTCCCAATTTCTCTCCTCATTGTCTCTTCTCTCTCTTGTGCCTTGAGTAGATTTCCAATTTGAAAGGCTTTGTTGGTTTGTTGCACCAAACAATTAATGACAATTTGCACGACAAACAGAATTCTTGATTTTATGAACAGTTTCATCAATATTTGTGAACATGAAAAGATAGCTGGGAATCAGGGAAGCAAGACTAATTTGTTGTCATCAAGCGACACATTCTAAGGGAGAGTTATTCCAATTGATGGCAGAATTGATTCAATTCACAATGTTTGTTTGAGGTTATACCCCAAAATGACTTTAGTTACAACTTTTTCTCTTTATGTTTGAAGACTGAAATGTGGCAAAAGGTCGCAAAGTTCAAGGGGGCCGAATACTTTCGCAAGGCACTGTAACAGCGGGGTGCAAAATGCTAGCAGGCAGGGCATACATGGAACGCCATAACCAAGGGGCTGGCATAGTGTACATAAACATCTGTGCCGAGTACAGGCTGGAAGTCCCAAAGTCAAAATGTGGTACACCTCCAAAGGTGGTTGAGAATGACCAAGGTAAGATCCTGTGGGACTTCCAGATACAAACTGACAAACTGGTAATGGCCAACCAACCGGACATAGTAGTGGTGGACAAACAGAGGATAGATGATTAGTGATAGATGTAGCAACCCCAAGCGATAGCAACATCAGGAAGAAGGAACATGAGAAGCACAAGAAATGCCAAGGGCTGAAAGAAGAGCTAGAAGGCCTGTGTGAATACTGCACATGATATTCCCTTCTCATATCAATATTACACTGCTCTTCAATGACTAATGGTAATATTTTAGTAGTATTAAGTATCAAAAGATCCCTCAAAGCTGTGAACACATCTCAAATTGTCCAAACCCCAGACCTTAAAAAGGGGTAAATGATGTTGATGGTGATATTTAATCAAGACAGTTTTGGAAGATACAACAAATTAAACCAGAAGAGGATCATGGATTTTTTTAGCAGTAATATTGATGAAGTTGTGACAACTCTGTGTCATCCTGGTTTTTGTATTTTTATTTGAGTCACAGTCAAAGGACACATACAGTATCCGTGTTGAGATACAAAGCTGTAACGGACTTACTAAATTAGACTCCTACTACCATCTTTGAAAACATAAGAAAAGTTTTTGGTCACCTGACAAGTCAACAGTTAAGTGTAGTTTTATATGATGGACAGGGTAAGCTGGTCTTCCCAAATAACATTGATTGAATCAATTTATTTACATACAGGCCCTTGAGTTTGCTTGTTATACAGAAAAATGGTGATTTTGCCATTAAAAAAAATCTAAAGTGACTTTTAATATATGTTGAATAAATATATAAAAACTTTAATTACCTTAAAGACGCAGGAGTAGAACCTTTTCTATTTTACTGGGTCTTTAAATGAGTCCTAAATCCTTAAGATATATGAGCCACTCGTAACTGCTTGCTTGCTATGATAACTTTGCAATTGGATCATACTGTACCATTTTTCTCAATATAATGAGATTCTTTTAATAATAGGATATTGTATAATTTATGGATATGGCTAAAAGAAAACTCACCAGAAAGTAAACTGGCAAAATAAATATGTTCTCTGCCCTTGTGGGGAGGAGGAAAACATATGCAAGCAAATTAATTTTGATTGTTTTTATTCAACTTGTCAGTCTCTGCAAATAAGCACCGAACGTCTCTCTCTCTCTCTCTCTCTCTCTCTCTCTCTGTGTCTTCTTAGGATGGTATGGGGAACCTGCGGGTGACCAAGGAGGGTGTCAGACTGGAGGGAGTGTCTGAATTCTTATTGCCATTATACGTCAAAGAGATCCAGTCTCGTAGGGTAAGACCATGTCTGTGTGAGTGTTTGTGTTATATTGTGTTGCATGCATAGTTGGTTATGTGATTACGTACGTGTGTGTGTGTGTGTGTGTGTGTGTGCATGTCCCTGTTCTACAACCCCTAAAATGAACAGAAATCAAATGTTGTTCACAGCAGTCTGTTTCTCAAGGATTTGATCCTGCACTCCTTGATAATCCTAATTCTTCTTCTAATGATCTCTCCTGTCTTTGAACCGGACATGATAAAAGGGTTTGTATTAGGTCATACTGCTTTAGAATATACAGTAGGCTTACTTTTCCATTTTTCCATTTCCATTTTGACACATTTTGTGTTGCTCTGGGTCTTATTTTTCACAAAGGACCCATTTGTGTGAGGGAACGTTGTGCCTTGGCGGAGGTACATGCGCTCTCTGAGTGCTTTTGTTGGTTTTGTACCTGAAACACCCCTTGCACTTGACACTGTTGCATATTAGATAATATTACTGTGAAGTGCACAAGTCAGTACCAGCAGCGACTCAAAACAAAGTGCTGCTATTGTGATTTAGATGACAGTGTTGTTGTTTTTGAGTGGGTAGAAAACAATGTTTTCTCCCAGTCAAATACAGGATTGATTGGAACACAAGAAAATAAAAAAAAGCATATATATTGTACATTACATATGGTATATAACTATAGTCAGAAAGCTACACCAGAATAAGCAGTAAAAGAGATAAATAACACCAGGAGGAATGTGGACCTCTATCGAAGTATTGCCTAACCATGATATGAAGGAAAACAAAGCTATAAGAGAACTGAAACAAATAAACCATAAACTATGATGGTGAAAAGAAGGAATAAAGTAAGGTAAAAGGTGTTGAATGACTAAAGGCTGAGAGAAGGCAGAGGAGGTCAAATATAAATGAGGGGGAAAAAGAGAGGCAAGAGGAACAGAAGAAAGGCATATAAAAGGAGATGAGGGGACTATCAACAAACATGTGCGCAGACATGTACGAGTGGAATATAAGTGAGAAGCTATTTCAAACTCAGATCTCTAAGACGTTGCTGATATTTAAGATTCTGTCTTTACTGAACAGTAAAGAGGCTGAGATGCCACAAAAAGATTTTGCACCAACACTATTGCAAATGCACGACAACCTCAAGAGCTATAAGAGTATATAAATATATGAGAAACACTACAGTGTACATGCAGCTCCTGTTTTTCAAGTGCAGCATAAATAAGGTTTCTACTTAAGCTGTCGTGGTTTTATTTACACCCACTCTGTGGTTTGTTTGTCACCACATTCTGTACATTTCCTTCACATTGAGGAGACATGAATCGAATTCCTTAAAAAGCCTCAGGAATCAGAGATAAATAATACATAAGTATAAAAAAGAGAAAATGTAAAATGTGTTGGCTCTGAGACCTGTCATACACTGCCAATTGTGCATTTAAACATATTAAGTGAAAATAACTGAAATGAATAATGGCACTGTAAACCTAATGGAGCCAGAATGGAACTGTTATAATAGAATATTTACAGCAATGTCAATCTGTATGTTCCCACCTGAAATCGGACATTGATGGTATTTTCACATAGAAACCACCTCTCACTAAAAAGACAGATATTAGCCATGGGACACAGATCTAGAATCACATGCACATCAACATGATTAACATACATTGATTCTATCCCATAGCACTGCTTTCAGGGTGGAGGTGAATACTATACTACTGCCCTACTTAAAAACGTGACACTATTTAGGTAGTTTTATTTTACTGTACATAATGTAGCTCTTCATACAAAAAAATGATTTCATTAGAGCTAAAGCAGAAAAAAACAAATGGGAGAGTGATACATAGAAAGATGAGAAAAATGTATATTTTACACATTGTGGTTCTGATTCCTTTAAAAGAATGTGCACTGTGCGATAACTGTCTGTCTGTCTTGGCGCGCTGTATGTGTGTATTTGGTGAGGTGTGATTGTCAACCATTGTGTTTGCAAGTCTGTGTGAGGGTTTTAGGTGTCTGTGAGTATCTATATTTTGTTTTCAAACTGATTATTTTTTTAATTTTATTTCAGGCGGATATTGATATTTTGTGTTTGTGAGGAAGCCAATGCATATAGTTGCAGGTTTGTATGTATGAGTGTTTGTGAGGCAGAGCTTATCCCCTTACATAAAAGCAAATACCAAGTCGCCCTCACATCTTCTAAACAGCAGGTGTGCTCTTATTCTGATATTGACATTTGCCACACTTTTACTGTGAATTTTGGTTGCAGTGGGGGAAGCATGAATCAGAAGTATTCATTAAAATCCCCGAGGATACAACAGTCTGCTGCTTGTTTTGTGAAGAGACATACTGTTGGGAAATGGGGAGAGAAGAGTTAGAACCTGCATGGCACAGTTGCGTGGTGGTGTGGTCACAGCAAGAAGGTTCTGGGTTTGAACCCGGGCCGACATGAGGCCTTTCTGTTCTCCTTGTGTGGGCTCTCTCCCAGTACTCTGGCTTCCTCCCACAGTCCAAAGACATGCAGCTTAGGTTGACTGGCAACTCTAAATTGCCCGTAGGAGTGAGTGTGGGTGGTTGTCTGTCTACACATCAGCCCTGTGATGGACTGGCGACCTGTCCAGGATGTACCCCACCTCTCGCCCAGTGTCAGCTGGGATTGGCTCCAGCCCTCCTGTGACCCTAATCAGAAGTAAGCAGTGCTGATTCAAGTAACTGGGTGTTTAATCTGTTCTTTAAATTCCTACCTTACTCTGATTTTGTAGCAAACACAGCTCATGTCAGTAATTAAAAAATAGTTTTATTATATAAAAGCTGGCAGCATTTCAATAATTAACCATTAACCATTTATTGATTGCTAATGTGGCTGACTTAAAATTTGTATCCCTAATGAGATAAGGATAATAAGATAAAGAAAGGAACAGATACATGAAATAAACAAAAGCAGCTTCCAGTGTGGGTTTCAGGAGCTTGTGGCAAACTGCCCTGGCCTGAATATAGGCTTACGACTTACATGCACACACAAAAGGAACCTACTGAAATGATACCAAGTCATTAGCCAAGACAACACTGAACCAAAAGATACACACTCAGCAAACTAAAAAGAATCCCTTGGGCCTGGATAAGTGGAGAGGATAAGAATACTTCAGCATGGAGAGTGATGAAGAAGTGGCAATGAGAGACACCAAAAGAACACGGAGAAAGAGAAACCTACAAGGGCAGATAGACACGTAAAAATAAAAAGTGAGGTGAGAAAATTTGCCTCACAGGCATTTTACTCCTCACTTGTTGTTCAAGGCAAACCAGAAAGGGGAAGAGAAAAGGGAGTGAGATGAGAGGAGGAAAGATTTTAATGCTTGATGCAGTAAAGCAGAGACCAAGGGAAAAATTGGTTTTCAGACATACCCACATTTTTAATGATTAGATTAAGACAAGTGGTGTAGCGGTAAACATAAAGACTGCTAAACTACAACTTTGTTTGACAACGTTTGTTGTCAAATCTACTACAGTTGTGTCTCCTTTTCAGGAGATGAAGATTTTGCTCTGGTCCTGCATTTCAGACATGAGACTGAAGCTATTATAAGTCAGTCGGCATTGAGCCTCATTATAATTTCTTGCCTTTGTTTTTGCCCTTGTAACATCTGGAACAGTCTGAGCTGGGCTATTGTCTGTTTTATGTTTACTCAACAGTCTGTTCACAAATATGTCCATGCTGTGTAGCACCTGGTTCAGATCTGTGTGACTGATCCACTGCTTAGGACAAAGTCCTGAAAGATTCCATTTGGAAAAAAAAGCAATTGAATTTTCATCCTGAAAAATTTTTGTCATGTAAAACTGTAAAATATTGTCTGAAGACACTTTGGATAAAGCATAAATCACACCTTGTTGCTTGTCAAATTTAGTTTTTGAGACCGGAATGGGTTCATTGCTTTATTTTGTTACAATGTGGATATGGTTCATAGTGTATATTGTTTCTAGTACACTAGCTGCTGTAACAAAGAAGGTTCCCCGTGAGGATTGTTAAAGTTACCAAGTGACCACAGACTGTGGTTCTCACCTACGATTGAGTACCAGTGGCTGTTCCCTGCTCTCTGACCTCAGAAGGTAGCAGTGAACCAGTTCCAGTTTAATACACCACAATAAAGCAAATGAGACTTCACAATAGACCACTTAGTTGAACTGGACAGTGCCTAGAGAGTGCAAACATCCACCAAGGCAGATCACTGTGCCCATAATGCCATTACACCTTGACCGTGAAAACCTACTTCTAGTATTTGGAATCATATTGATATCTTTAGTAGTTATTCAAAAAAATGCTTTTTTTTCTTCAAGATCTAGCTCAGTGACAGAGTAGCAAGTTTTCTGTGGACCCTATACAGTGCCTTGCGAAAGTATTCGGCCCCCTTGAACTTTGCGACCTTTTGCCACATTTCAGGCTTCAAACATAAAGATATAAAACTGTAATTTTTTGTGAAGAATCAACAACAAGTGGGACACAATCATGAAGTGGAATGAAATTTATTGGATATTTCAAACTTTTTTAACAAATAAAAAACTGAATAATTGGGCGTGCAAAATTATTCAGCCCCTTTACTTTCAGTGCAGCAAACTCTCTCCAGAAGTTCAGTGAGGATCTCTGAATGATCCAATGTTGACCTAAATGACTAATGATGATAAATAGAATCCACCTGTGTGTAATCAAGTCTCCGTATAAATGCACCTGCACTGTGATAGTCTCAGAGGTCTGTTTAAAGCGCAGAGAGCATCATGAAGAACAAGGAACACACCAGGCAGGTCCGAGATACTGTTGTGGAGAAGTTTAAAGCCGGATTTGGATACAAAAAGATTTCCCAAGCTTTAAACATCCCAAGGAGCACTGTGCAAGCGATAATATTGAAATGGAAGGAGTATCAGACCACTGCAAATCTACCAAGACCTGGCCGTCCCTCTAAACTTTCAGCTCATACAAGGAGAAGACTGATCAGAGATGCAGCCAAGAGGCCCATGATCACTCT